GCTGCTGCTGGGCTGTCGGAAGATGGTGAGGAAAAGAGGCAGGCACTGTTTATTAAATATTATTATACAGAGAACAGAGTCGTCATCAATTTGTTTTAAAGCTCAATAAATAACAAAGAAGACCTCTGATCGGCACTTTTCTAATTTTGTACGGAAGATTTAAACTTTAACGGACATGTTGACCGGCGGAAAACATTTTTTAACGGAAAATGCCGCACGGTTCCCTCGTCCCTTGGAAGAGGCGGAGAGGTGGGTGTTTATCATCTGCTGGTGGACTACCTGAGAGATATACAGCAGGAGAACACGTCGTCCACCGCGGAGAATAAACAGAAGGGCAACCATGGCAACCATGCTCCGGGGTCTTCTTCGCTGCTTTTGGTGTATTTTGTAGCGGCAGCAGCGCCACTTACAGGCCTGGCATATGTACTACAGCGTTTCCAGCATTTCCAGCGGTCTAGTGTGAACGGACACATTAATGAATCAAATGCGTGTGAACGGAAGGCTTTTTTGCGTTTGCGTATGCGTTTTACCGTATACGTCCTCGTCTAAGCCAAACTATATCCGGTCACAGAGATCTGCTATTTTAAAGTAAAGTCAACACATATCGACCCTAAATATAGTCTATATTAAGAACGAGCAAAATTTTAACATATATATCGTTTTTTGTAAACATATGACAAATGTGTGAGGGTGAGGACGTCATAGCATCGTCCTATGTGCCAGGGCTTAACCCCGGACAGCCCCAGCCCAATTTAATCCCTGGGTATTTGTGAGGGAGCTCCTATGGCATTACCCCGCTGAAGCTCACCAAAGTTTAATATAATTCATAGTTCAAAATTTTGTCAATTGTTTCGTTTATTGGTCAAATACTGGTTTCTAATGGTTTCTGAGGAGTTTTACTGGAATGAAAGAGCACAGAGTACAGAAGCAACAAAGCAGCATACTGCATTAAACCTGACCTTCACAGAGAGGTTGAAGTTCATGTGGAGAGGAGGCTTCAGTAGTCTGTCTGCACTCTGTTTAGTTGTGCTATCTTAAAATCAATATAGTAAATGTGAGGTAAAGTGTGTCGCCAATGTAACCGGTTAGAACTCAAAGTTGCGATGAGGTCTTAAAATGTATGGAAAGGGTCTTAAAAAAGGTCTTAAAAGGTATTAAATTTGACCCCAGGATTTCTGCATATACCCTGTCTTTAGTCTAGTTTCCAGCACTCTGAACCCTGAAATGTTGAGTAAGTCTCATGTTTGCACAATTAACATAAATAGCGTTAATTAGCAATAAATTGCATATAGTTTTAAAAAGGTCTTGGCAGATTTGGACAACATTGGAGTGGTTTTGGTCATCAAAATCAGCACTGCGGGAGAACAAATATGGCCACTTTGTGGTTAAAACTGCCATCTTGGATCCTGAAGATGTCAAAATAGATTCAGCATCATCAATTAACTCCAAAACCACTTCAAAATTGTCCAAATCGACCAAGCCATGTTTTAACTATTGTCCACCGGCTATAATGTTAATTAATGCAACTTATACTAATTGTGCAAATTGCCCAACATATGCAGATTAGCATCCGGCAGATTCTATGTGCTGGGGTCCCTACTATACATTTCTAACATAAAACTTTAGGGTATTCAACATTTCCGGGTTTACAATAGGACTCTAATGGCGCATTTCCACTACACGGCCTCGCTCGGTATGGCTAAGCCTCGTTAGGCCTTGTTAGGACTGGGTCACTTTATGGCGCATTTCCATTACAGTTTAGGAACTGGGGTAGTATCTATGGTAACGCAGTGTAGGCGGAGCCGTGACGTCATCTTCAATGCGAAACACAAAACCAACATCAGCCGTTAGCTGTTAGCCCTCAGAGCTCACAGCTCACAGCTCCTCATATCTGTTCAGAAACTAGACAAAAGTTAAACAAGTACAAACCACAGTCTGTCTGTGTCATGGTGAATACAGTCGCTGGTTTATTTATGTCTGTAGGCCGTTGTTGTGAGTGTGGACGGTCGGACCATATATAACGTTGGCTTAGCCGATCTCCATTCAGAAAACACGCATTTTAAAAGGTTTTTCGCCTGCCGTCTGTCTGCAGAGTTGTCAAAGCGTTAATTTATGGTTTTCACGAACCGGTATCAGTATGTTGTTACTTCGGCATCATTTTAAACATGTATTAGAATTAAGGAGCTACATTCATGACGTCGACGCTTAAGCCGCTACGTATATTGTACATATCATCAACAATGGCGGCCTACTAGGAGCTGACGGACCGAACTTAATGTTGCTCCTATACTTACGAAGCCAAATTGAATTGAAGAACCACCTGTAGCGGCAATAACTTCCGATGAGTTAGCCGCTGAGAGGCTAAAATCTACTCTTTGCTGTGACGCGTTCCATGTAAGAGTCCGTAATCATTTGTAGTCCATGGTGTATAATAAAGACGAAAATCAACAATGTACAACTCCAGACCTGACACACAGTTTATGCCTTATTACTGTTATCCAGAGTGACGTAGTAAACTTTTAGCCACAGTTTTAGCAGCATTTGCCGACAACGGCAGTGGTACCCCGCTCGTGTCACAGCAGCGTTTTAGCCTACCGTTTACTAACGGGAGCTGCTGCTGGAAGTAATAATTCACTCTCTGACTGTCACACAAGCAACATCCCCTGATCCATATTCCCAATAAATTCATATTATTGTTCAGTTTAAATGTAGGATTTGGAAACATAGTGCCGAAAAGGGTTTTTGGATAGCGATAGCCACCGCAGTAGGTCTCTCTAATCAAGAACACTGTTGCATCTACCGTTTTTTATCGGCGTATTTTTCACTTTGATCTAACTTGTGTTTGCCTGATATCACAACATGTTTAGCCTAAGGATTTATAACAGCTGATAGTCTGTTGTTATTTAACACTGGCTAACGGCTTCTGCAAAACTTTATCGAGGAGGTTGACTTACACATACAAATCGGACGGAAACCTGAAGAAGGTGACCTGTCCCCCACAGTCACGTCGACTTTAACACCTACCTTTCTACCGATTACGTCGGGCGTACTGACGTAAAGGTAAGAGGTGCACCCGTAAGTGTAAAACACCTCATCTTAAGGGACAAGAGGACATCCTCCACCACCCTAACAAAATAATAAATTTATATAAATGTAAACAATTACGGAAGGGTTAATTAGGGAAAATTAACAAAATATCGGATGACATATACAAAATAAAGCTACCTATAAAGACACAAAAGACACACATTATAACATTATTTCTAAAGTACACCTGTGTATTTTACCTAAACAACTACCCTTAATTACACCTTATTAACTTGAGATATGAATTACCATGAGAGCGATAGTGATGAGTGGCTTGTGGAGATATTTGATCCTGGAGTCTTTTGCGCTAAGAACGCTAGCGTCTTAATGGCGTATTAGTCGTTTTTAACCGGCGTCTAAAAATTTTACGGCGTATAAATAGTTTTCCGGCGTAATTAGGGGCGTAAAAAGGTGTGTTGAACTCCCCTTTTTTTCAATTGAGCAGAACAGCACTGCATAGTCGAGCGCGTAGTGTCTACATTTTGTTAGTGGCATATCTCACTTGGCACACCTCGAGTGTGCTATCTCTTTTGTGGTTCTACTTTTTAGAATTTAGGTAGAGTAAATGGCGTGCTTGTAAAGATGATTTCTGGCCCCGTTTTTCACCCCCTTGATAAGACGTAGGGGCACGTTGACACCAACACTCGTATTTCTCTTTTTAGCTGCCACTGCTGGGTGAAACTAAGTAAAGTTTGTAAGCTTTTAGGAAAACGACGACGCCCTGTTTCTTTCGGTTTGCTGAGATGCGAGTGGCTCCGTAGTTGGAGGTTTTGGGAAAAGCTCCCGATGTCTTTGCTTCACTATTCGGATGTTCTAACTTTCGACCAGTCTAATTGCTTGCTCCATTTACTTTTGTCTTACTCACACACACACACACACACACACACACACACACACACACAGCACGGGTTAACGAAAATTTAATTCATTTGTTAACCTTACACAAATTAACTTATCATGTCGTTCCGGCAATTTGCATAATCACCGTCCAAGCACCACTCTCATCTTATTTATTCCTGTCGATTACTAAAATTAATTGTTTATACAGTCAGATAAGAGCGTATAAAGCGTACACACGAGATTTACTAAAGCGTACTGATAGTAGTATAAAGTCGCTGTATTTACCGTGTATACATTGATGTGCGTATAAATCTATGCAGTATTAGTTCGCAATGAAACCGCTCGTATTAGGTACAAGATCGTTCGCATTACTTCTTGAAACGGTCGAAAAAACACCTCTCCAGATATATTTGTAACAAGAGTACGAATGAGAAACACCTGTGTCGGACACTCGTGTGGAAGTAGATCCCTCCTGTCAACTGCACATTACTGAACATCACCAAGAGTCATTCAGGACATAAAACTGACAAGATCAGTACAAACATATATACTATAGTCTGACCTATTAACTGTGTCGGTACTAGGTAGAACACCTTAAGTGACACTCGTGACTAAGGCGAAACTAGCGTAAACTTCACTCGCACACTCTACCTATGGGAGAATTCAGCTGAGACACTGCAACTTGACGCGCGTCGTCAAGGGACGCCGTCGTCGCCCTAGCAACTCTCAAGGGAACTACTCCGTATTG